CCTAAGTATTTGTGCCATTGATATCATTATAACAATCTCCGTTGTGTTGCAAGAAATATTTACAGCCTTCAACGAACAGTGCAACTCCTAAACTTATCAGACAACCGTTAATAAAGCATTTGCGTGGTACTATTTAAGCACGAACCTTATATGCAAACAACCATATACTATATAGACTAGGGCCTACATATGCACACAACCGTATACTATATAGCCTATAGGGCCTACATTATATATATATATATATATATATATATATATATATATATATATATAAACCGATTATCTAAATCACTACGAAAACATTTTCGTTTTGATATAAATGTTTTATGAAAAGCGCTATATAAGTAAAAGTTATTATATTATATTATTATTAACATCGCCTCGTTCTGACTGTACGACTTACCAGTCCGCATCCTCTGCAGTATAATTCATCGTTTTGAAAATGATATCAGAATCAAGAAATCTTCAAGCAATTGATCCAAACAATGCACAAATCTTTACCACTCTGTCATACGTCAGGGAAACGTGATGGTACGTTAATCCATGAACCTGTTCCCCATTTCACAAAACTTGTCATTAATGATAAATGACAGTTTTTGTTGTAAGCTAGTGCAATCCTCGCTTCTGATTGATTATCAACAGATTTGTCACTGATGTTTGTCATTTGTCATTGAAAAAGGCGTTGTGAAACGGGTCCCTAGTTGAACAGCTGCATTACAGAATCGCCGAACTAACTATTTGTGCGGATATTGATGTCCGGTCCTTTTTTATTTTGAGCCCACGTGACTCAGAGAGGTCCCTTGACGTCTAGCTTTGCGTCATAAGAGGGACTTTTAAATTCTGCACGACGAGAATGTGGACTGCCCTTTTAAGGCAATGTGACGTCCTTTTAAGGCACTGGCAATGACGTCACATTGCCTTAAAAAGGCAGTCCCCGTTCTCGTCGTACATTATCTAAAAGTCCCTATTAAACTGGTCTTTGTCGTAATGTTATGATTGCTAGTTCCTGGTAGTTGTCATATCTATCTCATCGTCGAGGTAAACATTGTTAGTGTAATGTGTCTCGGGCCAATGTGTGTTCACTGTGGTAAAATGGGATTGGGTACGCCCACTACATTTGAAAAGATTTAAGCAGAACTCTGTTTACAGTCATGCTTTCATCATGGGAATTTCGAAAGTCTTATCCAAATGAAAAGAGTTCTAATTTATTTTAAGAAAAACGAGTTATGAGTGCAATACTTCATTTCTTTGTTTTCCTTTTCCTTAGTTTGTCAAGCTAAACAAAATTCTCTCTCTTTTCCTCAAGCAATGTTTTTATTTCCATAATTTCAATACATAGTTACATCAATTCCTCAATAAGTGAATGCAAACAATATTGGCTTAAAATTAAAGCATACTCAACAATTCCTCCAGCCCAGTACCATTCTTCTTGCCAACACATTTATACCTCAAAAACAATCTCAGTAACGACTTCAAGTTTGTTTGTTTTTTAATTTAAAAAAGCACACAGGCAAACAACAGAACGCGCCGACAATCCTTCTCACGCAACATTCGCTAACTGCACACTGCGCATAATTCAGGAAAGTACATTTCCCGCCTCCCACGTCCCCACTCACAACCAACTTCTTCCGATCCGGTTCACCTGCAGCTCCACTTGGAACAGGCGGAACATCAAACCACATACCTCCAAAACACAATCACATCCCCGCAACACAACAAAACATGAAACGCCGAATCAACTTCCCAACAAGCGTTACACAAAAACCTATTCACAACCTGCAATTTATACACCCTTGAGGCAACAATCATGCGAATCATCCCGAAATCAAACTGTCCAGCTCCACCATTACGAACCTGCCTTCACCTAAACGAAAACACATCCCTCCAAACAAAGTCGCCATCCAAATCCAGAAAGGAACCCCCCCCCCTCACCAACAAAAAAGGACCACGGGTTATCCAGACCTCCTCCGTATCAACAAACGACAGCAATCTTTCACCCCACAACAAAAACACCCACCTCATCTCCCGTCTCCATTTCCGAAAGATTAAAAACACGTACCACACCCATCTCCAAAATCACCGACATCACCAAATCCATTCACCCAACCAACACTGCGGAAACGCTTTCTCCAACTTTGTATATCCTAAATCAAACAAGAGTTGCCACGCTCCCACTCCCTTAACAATCAATGCAGAGTCACCTCCGAGTCACCCCAAACACCACCCTTAATCAAACTATGAATTTCCAACTAACCCGCCATTCTCGACAAAATAACACCATCTTCCCAAACGCAATATGTCGCCTCCTTTCCAAACGGCTTATGCCGAAAGGGTGGGTAGCGTCGCGTCGCGTTGATTTTAACGCGACCATTCGTCAAATGACCCCCCCCCCCCCGGTTTGGCCGAAAGGGTGCGTTGACTAATCTTCCACATCAGTCGTTTATAATAGAATTTAAGGACTACAAATTTTAGTCGTTTAAATTGAAAATATTAAAATAGAAACATGAAACAGGAATAATGTGACGCATTGCCAAAAGCCTTTTCAAAATCGAAAGAGAACACAATCCCGAACCACTGAATGTCCCCAAATAGTCAATCACATCCTTCACCAACCGCACGCTTTCCGCTGCGGATCCTCTCTCCATGAAACATCTTCGACTTGCCGTCCGACAAAACACGCTGAAGTCCCCCAAACGGTTCTAGCACACCTACCCCCTGGACAACTACCCCCTAGGACAACTATCCCCGAGGAAAACTACCCCCTAGGGCAACCACCCTCTAGGACAACTACACCCAGTGGTAGTTGTTCAGGGGGTAGGTGTCTGGGTACGCCCCAGATGGCACTCCCGCCACGATCCCATGCATACTCAGAAATAGGTCTCCAACTGTCTAGACAACCCCCCCCCCCCCCATCCCGCTTCTTCGCAAACAACAATGTAATTAGACCCTGCCGTTGGGAAGATGATGTCTTTTGTTTCTGATAGCCCTCATTTAAACTTGCAATAACCAGATCTTTAATTTCTAACCAGAAAACCTTTTAAAACTCCGCACTTAGACTATTACTTCCAGGGGATTTATTAGTTTTCATACATTGCAATGCGTCTTCACACTTCAATGCCTCTTCATCGGTTAAAGTACTAACAATTAAATATTTAAAATATTTATCAACATGAACATTCGTGTATCCATTTCCTTATTTTGAACATAATTCCAGTCACCTCCTGCGATCAAAATATAGGTATCTTCTTTAACTTTATTCAACCAATTTAAAAAGCATTTTATGAAAATGTTCTTTTTCCGATTTTTTTTGCAGGAGCATAAACATTCAAAAGAAAATAACACAGTCCATTGAAGCTCAAACAAGTAGCCTTAATTCTACCTTCACTCTTAATAAAAGTACTTATTATATCAATTTTCGGGTCACCCTTCGAATTTTGACACCCTTCGAATGATTGGTACCATTATCAAACAAATAAGCATTCATGTCCACTCGTTGCAAATAATCCTTTCTTGGTCGTGAGACAAAAACGTTTCTTGCTAAAAACAATATCACATTTTTAACAGATCATACCTTAGTCACATCGACAAGACCGAAACCAAAACACACCGAACGAAAATGTAACATTACGTCTGTGGTCAAGAAACGCTCGGTTTGGAGTCGGTCTGAATATCACAAACAGCGCCGACGAAATAGACACCGTACTAACAATAGACTGAATAAGCCGTTACATTACCCCGAATAAAAGATTATATCATTAATCGGTCATTTGTGCGGTGTGACAGGGGTTAAAATTGTCGTTGTAATTTGAATACTTCCCTTTTCCTAATTTCTTCAGATCGCAAGAATATCTTACTGCACATGATGCTCACATATCCGTTTCACCTATTTCCTCTGATTGCGATTTATTCAAACGGTATATATAAGCCTAGTATAGGTTTTGTATTTTTACAAGGAAACAATAATATTCTGGAGAAAGAGGGGTTTCCTATTTCTCTATTGTGTATATGTTATCATTAAAATGGATATATAATTTCGTCTCCCTTGACATACTTCTATATAATTAATTCTGTTTGCAAAAGTTGATAACAGAGATAATCGTAATCATATAAAGTAACCGTACACATTTAAAAGTCGTGACGTCAATGCAATACAACAATTATCGTAACCTCATAGTTTAATGAATAGCACATTTTCTTGGAAATTCATTAGACGTATACTGACTCCTCTTAGAATTGACACAAACTTTTGATTCTGTCTCGTGCATTGTTATCGGTGATTGTAATGTAATGCAGGACTTCTAAACTAAATTGAACATGAACGATGGCATCAGTATACGCTATCTAAACTTTTTTATACAATATCGACCCTTAGGTTAATCGTAATTGCTACTTATTTACAACAAAATTAAATTTGCACATCGTTTTAAATTTCCAAACAGAAATCAAATACACATAACTGGAGAAGCCTCGTTTATTTAACAGAATAAACCGAATTTTGCTAGCTTGAAACTTTCTAGTATTATATACTTTCCCATCATTTTCAAGACAGAGTTACCAACAATACAGTCATAAGATTATCAAAAACTACCATATTCTTACAGATTTAAAAAAAAAAACCTTATAGCCGACTGAGTGTAAGTATATACAAATGATGTCATAATATTATTGTCCATGACAGGCTCGGATCCACGTAGCGATTTATCCGGCCCGCCCCCCCCCCCCCCCCCAGCCCCCCAAAACGGTAAAAAAAATTAAAAAAATAGGATAATAACGTAAATTAAACCTTTTTTTTCTTCACCCCCCTCAAAAAAAAAATAATGGTTCTCCGCTTATTCACCGACCTGCTGAGTCGGCGCTAAATTTTTCCTCAAAAAAAAAATGTGCTCTAACCCCCCCCCCCCCCCCCCCTCGCTTAATCACCAGCCCGGCCGGCTGAGTCGGCGCTAAAAAAAAAATTCTCAAGATTTGGGCCCCCCCCCCCCCCTCCTGTCGCCGGCTGGATCCGCCCCTGGTCCATGACATGCAACATTTATTAGTAAGGTAAATGTTGTCCAACTAACCATAATTCCTATAGTTCTTAATATAAGGTGCATTGGTGTCGGGCGGTTCACCTCCAATCATACGTGCGTGTAGACACTGCGTGGTGTAAGCATCACATCAATGTGTTGCTGTACCCAATTCTGAAGATGACTTTACGTCCCTGCTACATAATTATCACTTAATAACAAGGGGCTTTTTCAGACCAATTTGAGTGAACTCGAAATGATGAAACATCTAACGGGAGGGAAATAAGTCAAAACACAAGCAAATCACGATAAACTTGATAATGCACATTGTAGATTACGACACAAGAGAGAGAGGTTAACAAAGTAATTGCCTAGTTGGGGAGAAACACTTTACAATTTATTTTGTTAAGACAGTTTAAACACGTAAAAGTACTCTCCGTTGCATGTAATCAGCGTTCCCGGTGCTGTCACAACACAGGGGAGGACAACGTCTTTTCGGTTCTTTGACACTGGGTATTCCACTACCTTGGTCGCTTCAAGTTCACCATCACTTGATACCATATCCACTGCATACACATTATGAGTCTTGTCTCTATACACGACGTAAATGGAACCATCAGAGAGATCCACATCGTAGAGACATCCATCCCATCGGTCGTGCTTGATGCAAATCCGGTTCGATCCGGTCGGATCCATGATGGTGAACTCACAAGGTCCCGTCTTCGCGACGAGATTACCTGACGGCAGAGAACGAAGCCATTGGATTTTTCCTACTCCGGTTTTCAGTGACTGACTGACGATGCCATCGCCTGGGTTGATGACGTGTATGTCAGATTGGCAAGCCACTGCGGCTAGGATCCTCCCACCTTTCTCAACGTGCACTGATGCGAAGGTCTGCTCACTCTCAGGGTTCTTTGGTAGCTCCACATCCCTGATGAACTCCCATTGCCGATTGTAAAGGCTTGCACCTTTGAAACAACTTCCGGTTGCACCCTTGCAGAAGTTTCCACAGAGAATCATCCCCTTGCCAATAGATGTACAAGAAACGACTTTTCTGTAATCTCCAGAACGTTCTAGGACCTTACTTATAGCTTTATCCTTCAGGTTTGTCACGTACAGCGTGCGGCAAGACATATCTGACACTACCATTTGATCTTCATCAATCGCACCAATGAAATAAGGCTTGACGAGGTCCTTTGCAATGGCAACACTGTCGATCAGTTCCCATGATTCTTCAGGTCCTGAAACCTTGCTCTCGTGGACATTATCACCTAATTTGAAGTGTACTTGTTGTCCTCTTTGTACGGTGCGTTTCAACACATCGACATTGATGTCAGTGTCCAGCATTCTTGTCAACGATGTTTCGAACATGTCTGCTTGGCCAATCAAATCTCTGTCGTCCATAACAAGTTTGTCAAGACGGCATTGAGCAATCTCTACAGAATCCATAACTCTATCGACCTGTGACTGCAATTCATCAACTTTTCTGAGTGTCCGTTCTTGAACTTTTATCAGGTCGTCCGCCAGCCTCTGTTTTGTTCGGACGATCTTCTCGCGCTTAGAGTATGCTACTTGTCTTCTCTTCTCTAGTTGTGTGTTTAGTTCCTCTTGTATTTTGCTAATCCGCTCGTCTGCATCTTTTCGTAAGCTCTCAATTTCTCTTTTCTATAAAGAATCGATGTCCTCGGACTCTGTGCCAAAAGTCTTCGCGATCTTATCTTTCACACTTTTGAAGTGCTGCTCTAAACCACCGCCATACTCTCTTATCCTGGAGGCTTTCTGATGTAGCTCGTGGTGCTTCTCAGTTACTCTATGTATCAGCAGCTCTAACCTCGACCGCTTTTCCCTAACGGCATCCTCAAGATCCTGCACCGTGCATGGTTTCTGGTGCAAAAGGAAAGCACACGTCTGGCACAGAGGAATCTTATGGGAGCGGCAGACGTATTCGATGGGTTTCATGTGCTTGTCACAAGACCAATCTTGGGGTTCTTGATCCCGAATTGTCTGAGCTTTTTTTGAGACACAGTCCTCGCACAGGTCTTGCTGTTCTTTGATACTGAAGGTGGCAACAAAATCGCCACTCTTGCAGTCGCTACCCTGACATTTTCCCGAAGTTCCTGATTGAAATGCCGATGCCATGGTCAGATGGTGAGAACCGGTGATGCTCGGTTAATCTCGAGAATCAATCATGAAAGTTCTGCTGTCGATCCTGAAATAATATCTGAAAAGACAAAGAATGAAAAGAATTTTGGTTCGCTGGATTACTAATATCTCGATATATGCGCTGAGAATGGTTAGTAAAAGACCATCATCTTATTTCACTGTCCATACGTTGCGCTATGTCAAGCCGTATAGGCCTATTCTTTTTCCGGTCAAGTACGAATATATATAGTGAAATGATCTACAGGTGGCAACTGCTCTAAAAGCAAACGTATGTGGTGAGAGGGCCGTGAACCATTACAAAAATGTCAAAACATTTTAAATACAAATTATACATGGGCAAAAACAATGAATACATGTGCTGAAAAGAACTAGGACATACAAACACGCATACGAAAAGATAACGACACAAAACAAGAAGAAATGACGAAAAGAAGAAACCAACGAAACCCCTGTTTCACACAAGAACTAAATATTTTTTTCCTAATTAAATCTTGATTTAAAACAGTTCAAAGACAGAGATTCGTTAACATTATGGGTATAAGCAAAACTCATCACACCATACGGCGTAACGTGCATTAAACAGAATTTCTCAAATCAAAAATTAACATACAGCTAGATAGTAATAAAATTATATGTCACCAAAAATTCGTTTACTTTGATGAACTATTGGAGATGCTAAATAAAGATTAATGTGGAAAAGCACCATATTAGTGCATACATGAACAATATTTTGTCAGATCATTGTATATGTGATAAGAGTCCCGTCATTTTAGGATGTTTTAGGATGTTTTTGTATATTCCAAGAAAGGGAGTCGTCATCGCCCCCGTTCAACCACCCTCACCATCCTAACGTCCCAACACCACCGGGGTAGGGGTACAATAATTGTTTCATCATTTAAGGTCATAATTTGCTGTTTACAAAATAATGTACAAGCATAGTTAACGGACACTATAATCATGTGGTAGAATTCAGTTCAGAGGCGGCAATCCCGGGGGTGGGGGGACACGCCCCCCCCCCCCCGGAAAATTTGAAAAAGAGCAAAAAAATGTATGGCAAATACTGACTAAAGACTGCAACACACTTTTAGGCTCTGGAGGGCCCAAGAGTGCAGCATTTAGGAAAATAAAAATGCAAAAATCATCCCGCTCGGTAGCTACGACTCTTTTACAAAATGTACAAGTAAATATTGTAGAGAAGTGACGTGTGAAAAAGTATATTGCTTGTTTTTATACTAAATTTTCGCTAAGGTATTTTAATACAACACAAATTATACTACATGTGAGGGGGTAGTCACTTCCGTCACCTTCACCATTCTCGTTCACTATGCTCCCTCGCACTGTCGTACTGTTGGGGGTATTTCTAGTTCGACACCAGCGATTTATAAATGTTGCTGAAATGGCATGGTCTGCTCCCTGGTTGCTCATTTGACCGTAATAAAATGCCCAAACCCCTGAGTTTCCCGGGGCTCTGCCACCTGGACCCCACCAGATCCCTTAGACAGGCACCTGGACGCTCATCTGACCGCAATTAGATGCCTAAGACCCCAAATGTCAATTTACGCTCCACTTGCTTCGCTCGCTTTGCTTTACTTGATCGTTAAATCTTTAGCCCCCCCCCCCCCCCCCCCCCACCCGCTTTAAAAAAACGTTCCGCGGGGCCTGGATGTAACATGTAAGAATGGGGGTGATGCGGATTTTTTTTCTTCTGTCCCCTAAACGTTTTTGCTCAATACGCCACTGCTCCCTCGTCCCTCGCATTTCGTCCCCCGGTCATGAGAAGAATTCGCCGGCCCTGGGTAGGATCCATGCATGCTCTAATAATTATCGTTTCCCTTGTTTGTATACGTGCATTATGAACATCCGCTTGCGAGTCCCACACTCTCAGAACTACATGCATCGCCTGAAAGAGCACTTGTTTATTCTGTTTTCCTTTAAGTATGCAGAGGAGGCCTTCCCGGGGGTGGAAGTTTAAGAGTCACACAGCGTACCCCCCCCCCCCCCCCACTTTTCTAGTAAGTGCCCCTTTTCACTATTGATAAGTGCCCCCTTCATCTCCGATAAATGCCCTATCAAAATCTGAGAGGCTGGTGACCAATTTCCTTTGACAGGTGCCATTTCTCCTTTGTAATAAATGCTCTTTTATCTTCTTATAAGAGCCTCTTTACCTTCTCAAAATTACCCCTTTTCATCTCTGATAATCGCCCTGTTTATTTTAACAAACGCCTCTTTTTCTTTTCAATAAGAGCCACTTCCCCCTTCTCATGAAAGCCCCCTTTCACCTCCGATAAATGCCCCTATCAAAATCTGATCAGTGCCCATTTTCTGTTGAAAAATGCCCTTTTCTCATTCCATTAGGGACCTTTTCATCCCTGGTGAGCTCCTCTTTTTGTAGGTATACGGAGTGCCCCATTTCACCTCTGATAATTACTCTTTGTACTTTGACACGTGCTCCTTATCTTTTCTAATAAGTGTCTTATCCCTTTCGTATTGTCCCCTTTTCCTCTCATCATTAAACGCGCCCCTTATTTCAAGCGACTAAGAGTAATTTCCCCAAAGCTCACTCGCTACACTCGCTCGCATTAATAGATGATCAAAGAGGATTGGGTTTTGTCCTCACAAGATGTAATTTTTCGCCCTTTGTTGTTGGTGCCCCCCCCCCCCCCCCACTTTGGAAGTCGCTCCACCGCCCCTGCAAGATAAAACATCACCGGAATGAACTGCACCCTGTACTACAATTCAAAACGAGTATTATTTCTACTACTTAATATAAATGAAACTATTTCTACTACTTGATATAAATGAAACTATTTCTACTACTTAATACAATTAGGCCTTAGTATTTGTGCCATTGATATCATTATAACAATCTCCGTTGTGTTGCAAGAAATATTTACAGCCTTCAACGAACAGTGCAACTCCTAAACTTATCAGACAACCGTTAATAAAGCATTTGCGTGGTACTATTTAAGCACGAACCTTATATGCAAACAACCATATACTATATAGACTAGGGCCTATATATGCACACAACCGTATACTATATAGCCTATAGGGCCTACATATATATATATATATATATATATATATATATATATATATCACTACGAAAACATCGCCTCGTTCTGACTGTACGACTTACCAGTCAGCGTCTTCTGCAGTATAATTCATCGTTTTGAAAATGATATCAGAATCAAGAAATCTTCAAGCAATTGATCCAAACAATGCACAAATCTTTACCACTCTGTCATACGTCAGGGAAACGTGATGGTACGTTAATTCATGAACCTGTTCCCCATTTCACAAAACTTGTCATTGATGACAAATGACAGTTTTTGTTGTAAGCTAGTGCAATCCTCGCTTCTGATTGATTATCAACAGATTTGTCACTGACGTGTGTCATTTGTTATTGAAAAAGGCGTTGTGAAACGGGTCCCTGGTTGAACACAGCTGCATTACAGAATCGCCGAACTAACTATTTGTGCGGATATTGATGTCCGGTCCTTTTTTATTTTGAGCCCACGTGACTCAGAGAGGTCCCTTGACGTCTAGCTTTGCGTCATAATAGGGACTTTTAAATTCTGCACGACGAGAATGTGGACTGCCCTTTTAAGGCAATGTGACGTCCTTTTAAGGCACTGGCAATGACGTCACATTGCCTTAAAAAGGCAGTCCCCGTTCTCGTCGTACATAATCTAAAAGTCCCTATTAAACTGGTCTTTGTCGTAATGTTATGATTGCTAGGTCATGGTAGTTGTCATATCTATCTCCTCGTCGAGGTGAACATGGTTAATGTATTGTGTCTCGGGCCAATGTGTGTTCACTGTGGTAAAATGGGATTGGGTACGCCCACTACATTTTAAAAGATTTAAGCAGAACTCTGTTTACAGTCATGCTTTCATCATGGGAATTTCGAAAGTCTTATCCAAATGAAAAGAGTTCTAATTTATTTTAAGAAAAACGAGTTATGAGTGCAATACTTCATTTCTTTGTTTTCCTTTTCCTTAGTTTGTCAAGCTAAACAAAATTCTCTCTCTTTTCCTCAAGCAAAGTTTTTATTTCCATAATTTCAATACATAGTTACATCAATTCCTCAATAAGTGAATGCAAACAATATTGGCTTAAAATTAAAGCATACTCAACAATTCCTCCAGCCCAGTACCATTCTCCTTGCCAACACATTTATACCTCAAAAACAATCTCAGTAACGACTTCAAGTTTGTTTGTTTTTTAATTTAAAAAAGCACACAGGCAAACAACTGAACGCGCCGACAATCCTTCTCACGCAACATTCGCAAACTGCACATAATTCAGGAAAGTACATTTCCCGCCTCCCACGTCCCCACTCACAACCAACATCTTCCGGTTCACCTGCAGCTCCACTTGGAACAGGCGGAAAATCAAACCACATACCATCTTCCAAAACACAATCACATCCCCGCAACATAACAAAAAGTGAAACGCCAAATCAACCTCCCCATAGGCCACAAGCGTTACACAAATAACTATACACAACCTGCTGGTTCTAGGACACCTACTCCCTGGACAACTACCCCTAGGACAACTACCCCCTAGGGCCACCACCCTCTAGGACGACTACACCTCGGGGTAGTTATCCTAGGGGGTAGTTAACTGGGGTAGTTGTCCGGGGAGCATGTCCAGGAGGTAGGTGTCCGGATACGCCCCCAGACAGCACTCCCGCCACGATCCCATTCATACTCAGCATCCAACAACGAAATAGGTCCCCAACTGTCTAGACACCCCCCCCCCCCACCCCCCACCCCCCTCTTCCCAAACAACAATGCAATTAGACCTTGCAGTTGAGATGAGGATAACTTTTGTTTTTGATACCCCTCATTTAAACTTTCAATAACCTACTCTTTAATTTCTAACTAAAAAACCTTGTAAAACTCCGCACTAAGACCATTACTTCCAGGGGTAATATTATTTTTCATATACATTGCAATGCGTCTTCACACTTCAATGCCACGTCATCGGTCAGAGTACTAACAATTACATCTTTCAAATATTTATCAACATTAACATTCGTGTATCCATTTCCTTATTTTGAACATAATTCCAGTAACCTCCTGCGATCAAAATATCATTATCTTCTTTAACTTCATTCAACCAACTTAAAAAGCATTTTATGAAAAAGTTCTTTTTCCGATTTTTTTGCAGGAGCATAAACATTCAAAAGAAAATAACACAGTCCATTGTTGCTCAAACGAGTAGCCTTAATTCTACCTTCACTTTTAATAAAAGTACTTATTATATCAATTTTCGGGTCACTGTTAATCAAAATTGCGACACCCTTCGAATGATTGGTACCATTATCAAACAAATAAGCATTCATGTCCACTCGTTGCGAATAATCCTTTCTTGGTCGTGAGACCAAAACCTTTCTTGCTAAAAAACAATATCGCATTTTTAACAGATCATACCTTAGTCACATCGACAAGACCGAAACCAAAACACACCGAACGAAAATGTAACATTACGTCTGTGGTCAAGAAACGCTCGGTTTGGAGTCGGTCTGAATATCACAAACAGCGCCGACGAAATCGACACCATACTAACAATAGACTGAATAAGCCGTTACATTACCCCGAATAAAAGATTATATTATTAATCGGTCATTTGTGCGATGTGACAGGGGGTTAAAATTGTTGTTGTAATTTGAATACTTCCCTTTTCCTAATTTCTTCAGATCGCAATAATATTTCACTGTACATGATGCTTACATTTCCGTTTGATCTGTTAACTCTGATTGATGATTTATTCAGATGTTATAGTTAAGCCTAGTATATATTTTCTGTTTTTACAAGGAAACAATAAATATTCTGTAATAAGAGGTTTTTTTCTATTTCTCTATTGTGTATATGTTATCATTGAAATAGATATATAATTTCGTCTCCCTTGTCATACTTGTATACAATTAATTTCTGTTTGCAAAAGTTGATAACAGAGAGAATCGTATTCATATAAAGTTACTGTACACATTTAAAAGTCGTGACGTCAGTGCAATACAACAATTATCGTAACCTCATAGTTAATGAATAGCTAATTTTCTTGAAAATTCATTAGACGTATACTGACTGCACTTAGAATTGACACAAACTTTTGATTCTGTCTCGTGCATTGTTATCGGGGAGTGTAATTTAATGCAGGTAGTAATGAAGAGCAGTAGCTCAAAAAATAATCAAAACCAGATATATGTACCGCTAAACTAAACTGAACATGAAAGATGACATCGATATAATGCGATCTAATTTTTTATACAATAGCGACCCTTAGGTTAATCGTAATTGCTACTTATTTACAACAAAATTAGATTTGCACAGCGTTTTGAATTTCCAAACTGAAATAAAATACACAAAACTAGAGAAGCCTCGTTTAACAGAATAAATCGAATTTCGCTAGCTTGAAACTTTCTAGTATTATGTACTTTCCCATCATTTTGAAGACAGATTGACCAACAATACAGTCATAAGATTATCAAAACTACCATAAACTTACAGATTAAAAAACCCCACCTTATTTATAGCCGACTGAGTGTAAGTAAATATACAAATGATATCATAATATTATTGTCCATGACATGCAACATTTATTAGTAAGGAAAATGTTGTCCAACTAACCATACTTCCTATAGTTCTTAATATAAGGTGCATTGGTGTCGGGCGGTTCACCTCCAATCATACGTGCGTGTAGACACTGCGTGGTGTAAGCATCACATAAACATCACATAACAGTGTTGCTGTACCCAATTCTGTAGATGAATTTACGTCCCTGCTACATAATTAACACTTATTAACAAGGGGCTTTTTCAGACCAATTTGAGTGGACTCGAAATGATGAAGCATCTAACGGGAGGGAAATAAGTCAAAACACAAGCAAATCACGATAAACTTGATAAATCACATTGTAGATTTCGACACAAGAGAGAGAGGTTAACAAAGTAATTGCCTAGTTGGGGAGAAACACCTTATAATTTGTTTTGTTAAGACAGTTTAAACACGTAAAAGTACTCTCCGTTGCATGTAATCAGCGTTCCCGGTGCTGTCACAACGCATGGGAGGACAACGTCTTTTCGGTTCTTTGACACTGGGTACTCCACTACCTTGGTCGCTTCAAGTTCACCGTCACTTGATACCACATCCACTGCATACACATTATGGGTCTTGTCTCTATACACGACGTAAATGGAACCATCAGAGAGATCTACATCGCAGAGACATCCGTCCCATCGGTCGTGCTTGATGCAAACGCGGTGCGATCCGGTCGAATCCATGATTGTGAACTCAGAATTTCCCGTCTTTGCGACGAGATTACCTGACGGCAGAGAACAAAGCCATTGGATTTTCCCTACTCCGGTTTTCACTGACTGACTGATAATGCCATCGCCTGGGTTGATGACGTGTATGTCAGATTGGCAAGCCACTGCGGCTAGGATCCTTCCACCTTTCTCAACGTGCACTGATGCGAATGTCTTCTCACTCTCAGGGTTCTTTGGCAACTCCACATCCCTGATGAACTCCCATTGCCGATTGTAAAGGCTTGCACCTTTGAAACGACTTCCGGTTGCACCCTTGCAGAAGTTTCCACAGAGGATAATCCCCTTTCCCATAGATGTACAAGAAACGACTTTCCTGTAATCTCCAGAACGTTCTAGGACCTTACTTGTGGCTTTTTCCTTCAGGTTTGTCACGTACAGCGTGCGGCAAGACATATCTGACACTACCATTTGATCTTCATCAATCGCACCAATGAAATAAGGCTTCACGAGGTCCTTTGCAATGGCAACACTGTCGATCAGTTCCCATGATTCTTCAGGTCCTAAAACCTTGCTCTCGTGCACATTATCATCTAATTTGAAGTTTACTTGCTGTCCTCTTTGCACTGTGCGTTTCAACACATCGACATTGATGTCAGTGTCCAGCATTCTTGTCAACGATGTTTCGAACATGTCTCCTTGGCCAATCAAATCTCTGTCGTCCATAACAAGTTTGTCAAGACGGCATTGAGCAATCTCTACAGAATCCATAACTCTATCGACCTGTGACTGCAATTCATCAACTTTTCTGAGTGTCCGTTCTTGAACTTTTATCAGGTCGTCCGCCAGCCTCTGTTTTGTACGGACGATCTTCTCGCGCTTAGAGTATGCTACTTGTCTTATCTTCTCTAGTTGTGTGTTTAATTCCTCTTCTATTTTCCTAATCTGCTCTTGGGCATCTTTTCGTAAGCTCTCAAGTTCCCTTTTCTCTAAAGAATCGATGTCCTCGGACTCTGTGCCAAAAGTCTTAGCGATCTTATCTTTCACACTTTTGAAGTGCTGCTCTAAACCACCGCCATAGTCTCTTATCCTGGAGGCTTTCTGCTGTAGCTCGTGGCGCTTCTCAGTCACTCTGGGTATCAGCATCTCTAACCTCGACCGCTTTTCCCTAACGGCATCCTCAAGATCTTGCACCGTGCATGGTTTCTGGTGCAAAAGGAAAGCACAGGTCTGGCACAGAGGAATCTTATGGGATAGGCAGACGTATTCGATGGGTTTCATGTGCTTGTCACAAGACCAATCTTGGGATTCTTGATCCCGCATTGTCTGAGCTTTTTTTGAGACACAGTCCTCGCACAGGTCTTGCTGTTCTTTAATACTGAAGGTGGCAACAAAATCGCCACTCTTGCAGTCGATACCCTGACATTTTCCCGAAGATCCTGAATGAAATGCCGATGCCATTGTCAGATGGTAAGAACCGGTGACGCTTGGTTAATCTCGAAAATCAATCATGAATGTTCTGCTGTCGATCCTGAAATAATATCTGAAAAGACAAAGAATGAAAAAAGGACAAAATACGATTACGGTTGGGTACAATGCATTTTATATACGTAAGACATGATCACTTTGAAAAATTATATTTCTTAGCATACAACAGTACCAGTGATAGGGGGAGGAGGAAGAGAGGAGGAAGAGGAACAGAAAGGTAAAAGACTGAAGGGGCAGATAGTCAGCAGATAGAGTGTCGGAAAAAATTTGTGATGAAAAAACAATGCTGAAGAGCACAACCAGCCTACGTGAGTGCCCAGAAGTAGATTTTCAGACGATTTGGATCATAGTTCGCTGACTATATCTTGATATGCTGAAAATGGGAAGTGAAAGGCCTTCTTCCTGTTTCGCTCTCCATCCGTTGCGCAATGTTTAAAGGGAAATCCAACCCAAATAGACAACTGCTCTCAAAGAAAGCAAAAAAATCAGAGAAGCAAACTGATGCATGTCTGAATGAATTCTGACTTAATAATTATTTTTGAAAGTTGAAATCGCTAAACGTGTGGGCACTTCAAATTGGCTGAAGCGGTAATGCCAATGTGATGGAGTGCCAGACTAGTTTCCCCATCTGTTCCAACATATAAAATGACTAAAATGTATATTTTTCAAAAATTCATTGCTCAGGAGGGTTTATTCTTTTAATATGACCCATATTGATATGCTATCTAAAATATATTTTAAGTAGTGCCCCAAGGGAGAAGTAACTTACGAGGGAAGCAGAAATGTATGATATTCGTACACGGCAAATGGGGCAGTTATCCACGTCCTACGTCACAATCCACTGACCGAACTACCAATATGAGATTCGTATAGACTTAGTGATCTCATATTTCAAACATTCATTACTTCCTTATTATTGGACCGATTCATTTCAAACTTTTGCCATTCTGTTTCTGTTATTTTTCTTCTTTTATACAAATCAACATATTACAAGGGTTGGATTTTCATATAAGTAAAACTTATTCAACATTTCAATGTAATTTTTTTGTGTGTATTTGCATCGAAATTGTTAATGTTTAAGTGTATATTTTTGTGCTTTTTATATGAGAATGAAATAAAATTAACGAAATCTCACGCCGTAGGCTTATTCTTTTTCCCTTTAAGTAAACATTTATTTTCCAAAATGTATCCACTTGTGTTTTTTATGTAGTCTGTTGATACTGAATTATGTATTAACGGTCAAAATTACCAAAAGTACCATATTTCCTTCGGATAAGTGCCCCCTTTCCTGTTTTATATGAGCCCCCCTTTTAACATCTGATAAATGCCCCTATTAAAATTTGATAGGTGCCCTTCTCTCCCAACAGATTCCCCATTTCCATTCTCACAAGTGCCTCTTTTCATTTCTGCTGAGTGTCCCTTTTCAGGTGCAAGAAGTACCATTTGCACCTAGTGAAGGCTCTGATAATTGCCCTTTTTAATTTGACACGAGCACTTTTTCTTTTCTAATAACTGACCTTTTACCTTTCGATAAATGCCTACTTTTCCTTTCTCCATAACATGCACCCCCTAATTCAAGGCGACTTAGAACCCCCTTTTATTGAACGTTCCCTAGAGCTTGCTCGCTACCCTCGCTCGCATTTATAGATGTTATAATTATGTTACTTATAAATGAACTTTTCACTCTTTCTTCATTAGATTGTGCTTAATATTCATCAGTTTTTTTTTTGTTTTTTTTTTAGGGGGGGTCTTCTTTATAAGATGTAATTTTTTGCCCTGGGACCTCACAAATCTTTATTTTTTGCTTGCTCGCTTCGCTTGCTCAAAATTAATATTCAGACTATCACACCTAACTGCAAAGTATGTTGCTTAATTAAACAGTATCTTGTACCACGTAAAGAAAGAAAACAAATATTGATATCATCCCTGGTAGTGTAATCACAATCATGACGATGTAGGGGTATAAACCAATGTCTAAAAATAGTGTAGGTTTTGTTAATGTTTCCCTATGTAGGTGCCCTTTTTTCTCCAGAAAATGCCCTTTTTTGCTAGTGCCCCCTCCCTATTTTGGAAGACGCTCCGCCTGCATTATGCTACTTAATTGGTTGATTGATTGATTTTTATTCGACAAGCTTCCAATATACAACAATATACAATAATAACAGATCAAAAATAAGTCAGCTTGAACAGGATAACCCACGAAAGCTCGAGAGCTTATTTCCAGTGGGGTCCCTTACAGACATGTATACAATTAATAAATTAAAATAGTAATATTTACAGACAGATAAGAAAATTAAAAGAACTACTTATTAAAGATAATAATAACAACATTAAACTGATGATAGAAATGATATTAAGTACAAGAAGAAAAAGAAGAAGGAGAAGAAGAAAAAGAGGAGAAGGAAGAAGAGGAAAATAATGATGAATTTGTAGAATTTCTATAACGTACGAAAACATAAGTATATACAACATGAAAAAGTATGAACCGACAGAAGAATAACAATTTCAATCATATAACATGTCATTCACTTCTCTTCTCTGACTGTCAAGTATTAGGTATTCCTTTAATTTCCTCTTAAAATGATCATAGTTTCCTATTTCTTTTACACCATTGGGAAGGGAATTCCAATGTTTTATGGCATTGTAATAAAACGAATTTCCAATACTACCTACTCTTTCTGGTAAGTTAAAGTTGAATCGTCTATTTCTTGTATTATAATCATGTACGTCAGTAACAAGATCGAAGTTGGATCGAATATAATGATTCGCCCTAGTATGATATATTTTATGCACGTGATGCAATGCGAGTTGTTTTGATCTTTGGTCGACTTCAAGAAAACCAGCTTTAGAAAGTTCGCTATAGCCAACATGAGTCCTTGGACCAGAACAGTTGATAAATCTCACCATTTTGTTCTGTATAATCTTCAACTTCTTTTGATCTGACTTGTTTATGTTACTGTACCATGCAGGGTTAGCATAGTCAAATAAACATTGAATAAGAGCAAAACAGAGTGTACGTCTTGCTTTTAAATCCATACAACTTTGATATCTGTACAAAAATTTCAGACGAGAATTTGCTTTTTTTACAACTGATTCTACTAAAGATGAAAATGAAATTGCGCTAGCCAACTCAATGCCTAAATACTTCACAGACTCTTTTCTCTTGATTGCTTGATTATTGTGTGTCACTTTGAATTCAAATGACTTTTTAGAACTACTTTTAGAACAAAATAAAATGCTTTCTGTTTTTCCCAAGTGTAAAGAAAGCTTATTATCAGTCATCCAATCGACACACGTAGACAGCTGTTCACTGAGCTTTTCCTCAATATATTTAGGATCAGGATTTGAATAGAGTAGTACGCTGTCATCTGCGTACAATAATAGTTTGAAGTCTTTTATACAAATACACATATCATTTATATAACTTGAAAATAGAATTGGGCCTAAAATACTTCCCTGAGGAACACCGCATGTTATAGGCATTAGTTTGGAACGAATATCATGAATGGCCACTACTTGGTGCCGATTAGATAAGTAGGATCTGAACCAATCTAAACTTGCCTTATCAAAACCCATTAGTTGTAACTTCTTCAATAAGACGCAATGATTAACTGTATCAAAAGCTTTTTGCAGATCAAGGAGCACCATACCAACAAAGCGTCCTTGGGAAGTTTCTCTCCTCAAATAATCAGTCAAATGAATTAGACATGTTTCAGTCGAATAATCATGTCGAAAACCAGATTGAAATTCATAAATTATATCATTTTCTTTGAAGTATCTTTCAATTTGAACACAGACCGATTTTTCTAGAATCTTTGATGCTACGCTTAAAACACTAATAGGTCTATAGTTGCTAACATCAGTTTTATCTTTCTTTTTATAAAGTGGAGTCACTTTTGCTATTTTCATATCTTCTGGAAAAGTACTCGTCAAGATAGATAGGTTCATTAAGTAACTTAGAGGCTTAAATAAAATCTTCGCACCATCTTTTAGAAATTTAGCTGGAATCAAGTCTAACCCAGTACTTTTTGATACATTCAACTTACGTAACTCTTTGAAAACAAATTGTTCACTGATTGGTAATAACTCGAAGCTGTTTTCACGTACACCTTTTCTTTCGTAAAAGTCACGAATACAATCATTGTCTGCGCTGAAAAAGTCTTTGGAAGGGGGGAGTTTGTCTACTAATTTGGCAGCCACATTTGTGAAATGAGAATTGAATTCATCAGCGATGGCCATCTTATCATGACATAATTCCCCATCAATTTTAATGACAGATTCTTGTTCTTTTCGCTTCTTATTTTTCAATCCTAAGCTTTTTAGATTCTGCCAAAGTTTTTTCGAATCTTGTTTATTTTCTTCTATCTTGTTTTGTAAGTAATCGAGTTTAGCCTTTTTCACCTCTCTTTGGACCATATTTCTTAATACTCTGTATCTTTTATAGAGCTTCTCATCTTTTGCTCTTTTCCTCCATTTTTTGTATACTATATTTCTCTCTTGAATTAGGGAAAGAATATCTTTAGTCACCCAAGTTTCTGATCTTTGTTTTATTCTTATCCGTTTCAGTGGCGCTATCATATTCAAATTTGAGATAAAAACATGTTGAAATATTGACCATGCCTCATTTACATCTGTACAGTCAGTTATTCGTGACCAATCAACAACAGATAGTTGAAGATTGAAAGACTCTTCTGTATATTTTTTCATGGATCTGATATCATTAGTCCTGTGATGACCTATAGCCAGTCTAACATTTTTCCGTGTACAGAAAGTAAAATAATGGTCGCTAATACCTAGATCAATGACACCACTTTGACTTATTTTATTTTCTTTGGTACAACCAACATGATCCAATAGAGAAGAACATGTAGGTGTAACGCGTGTTGCCTCTTTAATGAGTTGACTAAACCCATGAAGACTCAACAAGTCAATATATTTTTTAGCCAGTGGCGATTTGCGAAGAAGACAAATATTCATGTCTCCTAAAAGAATTATTTCGTCATCCTTCTTTAATGTATCAAGAATATTGGACAATTTCTCGATAAACAAATTGTTTTTCGGAGGTCGATACAGAACACCAACAACAATTGGTTTTGATCTTGGTATAAGCAAATTTATCCACAGGGATTCCGTATCTCCAGTACTTATAGCATCCATAATATTAAATGCAATATCATTTCTGATATAGAAACATACACCACCTCCAGAGCCAGAGGATCGATCATGGCGTATGATTTTATATCCGTCTATTTCAATTTCTTCATCATTTATGGAATTGTTTAACCATGTTTCAGTGAAAGCAATAATAGACAGCCTTTTTCTTTTAAAAAGAATTCTAAGTTCCGATATCTTGTTTAGAATAGACCTCACATTAAGGTGTAAAAAATGAAGACCTTTAACTTTAAACTTTTCTTCAAATTCTTGATAAAGAGAAGTGTTTTCATCTCTGAGGTTTGGCTGAATTACTCTTGCTATCGCTTGCTTTTCAGGTGTAACGCGCGTTATCTTAAAATAGTTTTCTTTTAGTCTATCCTCGTTTTGGCTTTCTTTCTCTAAACAATCGTCGTTAAATAATGAGTCACAAAAAGATGGCAGACAACATGTTAAACAATTCCACTTCTCATCAGGGCATTCATAATATAACCTGCGGTACTCTGAAAGACTGATAGCTTGACAATTAGTGTGAAACCATTTTTTACAATAAGAACACAGAAGGCCGTGTTGATTACATTTGACTGGCTTATCACAGTTCCCACAAGGGAACTTATATTTTCGACCGTCAACTATAATTTTCGGATCATCACTAGATTTTGTCAAACTTTCACTTAATTCAATACCCTTCTTACAAATTGAAGATATTTCGCCCAGTCTTTCATGTCCACCTTGGATGGTCTGAAGGCTGGTTTCAGATTTGGTGGTGAAAAGATTTGGTGGTGAAAAGATTTTGTTCTGACCCCAACAAGTTTTTGCTCATTACGCCACTTCAGACGAGTCCAAACAAGAGGAAGTGACGAAGGAAAAAAAATTGAACGGAACACCTGTCACACACAAGAACCAATTTATTTCGTAAATCTTGATTGGAAACAGTTCAAAGACAGATAAGCATAACTCATCACACCGTACTACTACGCTTAAATATTAACAGCGTAACGTGCATCAAACAGCTAGATAGTAACTAGTGAAATAAGAAAGGTATATGTCACCAAAATAATTCGTTTACTTCAATGAAATATGGGAGATTCTATAGTTTTAAGATAATGGCCCGGCCTGGAAAAGCACCGTATTCAATAATGCGTGCATGGACAACCACATCAGTCAATACTTTGTTAGATTATTGTGATAAACCATGAAAATCACTACACCCGTTTAATATACTGATTACAGATATTTTTCCAAACATTTAGCCATCCCTTTTTTATTTGAGTATTTAAAAAGTTGGATTGCTCTATTATTCCTTCATTCTTTGTATATTCCAAGAAAGGGAGTCGACATTACCCCCCCCCCCCCCCCCCCCCCAATTTACCCTGCTCAACAACCCTCTAACCTACCATCACAACACCACCGGGGTAGGGTGCAATATTTGTTTCGTTTGAGGTCATAATTTGTCGTTAACAAAACAATGTACAAGCATAATTATTGTAACGGACACTAATCATGTGGTAGGTTCATGCATGCTCTGATAATTATCGTTTCCCTTGTTTGTATATATATGGGCATTAATGGACATCCGCTTGCGAGTCACAAACTCTCGGAACTATGCGTACGTGCATCGAATGAAAGATCATTTTGTTTATACCGATTTCCGCTAAGAGGCCGAAGTACGATATAACTTCACCGGAATAAACTGTCCCCCCTATTACAATTCAAGACGAGTATTATACTAAACATTATGTGACATGTGTACCAATGATCTAATACAAACATTAATTCGTGTCATTGATATCATTATGTATATCTCCGTTTTATCATATGGAGAAATATTTATGGACCTAGCTTATGCAACGAACAGTGCAATTACTAAACTTTGACTTGCGTAGTACTCCTTTAATGACTTACTATTTCCTTGTGAGCCAAAGTCTACGGTACTACATATAAAAAACGATTATCTAAATCAATAGGAAAACATCGCCTCGTTCTGATGAAACAAATATTGTACGAGACTTACCAGATATACATGTAGCGTCTTCTACAGTAATTCATTGTTCAAATGTATACCACTTTTTCAAACGTAGCCTTCATGCAGGGAGACGTGATGGTACGTTGAACAGTGCTTTACAGAATCCGAAATACTATTAATTTTGGACGGAGATTGATGTTGGTCTAGTAGTCCTTTTGTGATTTTGAGCCCACGTGACTCAGAGAGTACGGTACAATGATCTTGACGTCTAGCTTCACATCCCGGGGGGGGGGGGGGGACTCAGATTTGGTTTGGACGTGGTGTGCGGCTGCAGCGTATAAACTCATGCCCATTTGTAACCCGGCATTATAAAGGATCGACTTCCAATAAAAATGCCCCCTGCTTTCAGGAAATTGTACCCGGAAGTTGTATTGGCCTGAGTTTCGTTTATTGCTTACACAGGATTTTGGTTTACGTACGCTCGAGGGGGGTGGGGGGGGGGGGATTACCGGTTCATAAATTAGTCAGAAGCGGAGCTCTCATTAATGATATCAATAAATCTGTGCGACCATCGGCTAGGACTTTCGATGAAAAAGCGAAATGATTTCAATTGTTTTGCGGGATTTCGCATCTGGAATGTTCACTTTAGCGAGATAATGGGTTAGATAATTATCCTGAAGAAAGTTGCCACCCATGTTTAAGGCATTAAAGCGGTACAACCCCGTAAACCGTATTAGGCGAGTACCCCCCCCCCCCTCCCCCTCCTCCCCCACCGGGGGCTTCACGTAAAAATAAACTGTTCTATGCCTGGTATAGCTTTCATATCTTTCGCCTCGTCGAACTAAACATTGTTATAATGGAATGTGTCTCCGGGCCAATGTGTGTTTACTGACGTAAATTGGACTTTGGTACACGCAAACCATTGAACAGTTTTAGGCAGATTTCAATGAAATGACATGAAAAGAGTGCAATACTTCATTTTTTCGGTTTTCTTTTTTCTCAGTTTGTCAAGCTCAATGTAATCTCTAAGCTGACAACGATTCAGCTCCAATCTTCTTAATTCTTTTACTATTTGATTTACTATATGATATTTCATTTGCATACGGTAATCAACTTCTTCATATTGTATTATGATCTCATTCCTTAAAAACTAAGCAGGGGAAAAAAATCAATTCCAGATTTTGTGTTTCTGAAATGTTGATAAATTATGACGTGTCGTAAAGTGCACTGAAATAAAATACACGCTTGACACTAACACAACTCCCCCGCCCTTTTCTCTCTCACCCTCTCTCTCTCTCTCTCTTCCTCTCTATCTCTCCCTCTTTCTCCTTGTATACCTTCAATTATTCATTCCTCTCTATCTCTCCCTCTTTCTCCTTGTATACCTTCAATTATTCATTCTCTACCCCTTTCAAAATAACAAGGCTAGTACTAAATGAGCTTATATTCATTTATTTTAAAGATCATTTTTATTCTGTGTTTTAATTACTCTCATTTTTTTTAATTTACTGAATTTATTGGTTTCGCATTTTATTCAGGGCGTTCTTCATTCAAAAAACGATTATCTAAATCAATAGGAAAACATCGCCTCGTTCTGATGAAACAAATATTGTACGAGACTTACCAGATATACATGTAGCGTCTTCTACAGTAATTCATTGTTCAAATGTATACCACTTTTTCAAACGTAGCCTTCATGCAGGGAGACGTGATGGTACGTTGAACAGTGCTTTACAGAATCCGAAATACTATTAATTTTGATTTACTATATGATATTTCATTTGCATACGGTAATCAACTTCTTCATATTGTATTGTGATCTCATTCCTTAAAAACTAAGCAGGGGAAAAAAATCAATTCCAGATTTTGTGTCAGTTCTGAAATGTTGATAAATTATGACGTGTGGTAAAGTGCACTGAAATAGAATACACGATTGACACTAACACAACTCCCCCGCCCTTTTCTCTCTCACCCTCTCTCTCTCTTCCTCTCTATCTTTCCCTCTTTCTCCTTGTATACCTTCAATTATTCATTCTCTACCCCTTTCAAAATAACAAGGCTAGTACTAAATGAGCTTATATTAATTTATTTTGAAGTTCAGTTTTATTCTGTGTTTTAATTACTCTCATTTTTTTTTTAATTTACTGAATTTATTGGTTTCGCATTTTTATTCAGGGCGTTCTTCATTCAGACTGACTCACATAAATGTAAATAATTATCACAATCGCATACTCTACACTATGTTGGCCTATCTTTAAATATTCAAGTCACGATTATTTAGAACGCCATTTCCCTTTCTATATAAATGGCGACGATAGCTGGTAAAGTTCCGGAAGTAAAGTTGAACAAGTACAAACGACGGGAGATTAATTTTTAAGGAAGTCCGACAAAAACTCAACCTGAATACTACAAAGTAAAACCAAGGAGTGACCAGCACTCCTTGGTAAAACGTGACAATGGGAATGAAATGAAAGAGGAAGAAACTTTTTTTTTAACAGGTTATATGCTTCCATTATAATCATACGAATAAAAGTGAAAATAGGACAGATGAATAGTATTCCAATAGGCAGAATCCGAATTGCATACATTAGTTGTTACCAGGTTGGACAAACATTACGGCTTTACCTACCTAGCAACACTTATATGCAGTTTGCATTCTGACTATTGAAATACTATTATTCATAACAGGTTAATGAAATAACTTGTATTGAGGCACTTCAAAAAAACTTATGCATTAAATTTGGTTGCATTACGAAAAAGGCCTATTTGATTGTAGAGCATATATAGAGGGAGGGTTTGAGATGGAGGAGAGTGGTAGGAATAGAGGGAGGAAAGTGTTAAGAAGGGAGGGAGAGAGACAAGGCAGAGAGAGAGACAGAAAGAGAGAAAATAGATATATAAGGGAGGGGTGGAGAGGAATGAGAGTGGTAGGAAGAGAGGGAGAGAAACAGGCAGAGAGAGAGAGAAAGAGAGAAAGAGAGAAAGAGAGAGAGAGAGAGAGAGAGAGAGAAGTAAAAGAAAAATTATTATATTGATTGATCCCGGAATCTCTATCGAGGGGGAGGAATCAAAAGTCCGACTTTTTTTTTATTAAACAAAAACAAAAAACAAAAAAGGGGCTCATAAATCAATCATAATTGTTATTTTCTTTCTCCCCTCTCCCTTACCTCAGCATCTTTTTGTGGCCGGGGAGGGGTGTACCACTGGTAGAGAACCTTCAGTCATATCAGTTGTTTTAACAGTAATGTTAAACATATAAAATGCTTCGGGGAAGAAGCAACATATTAGACACCGATTAACGTAATTGTACTAATTTCATGTTTCCCCAAACTATCCCAATTGAAAGCACCAAGTTATTTCCATTTCGTTTTCTCATTTTTTTTCGCACGCGGTGAACGGGGTGAGTGAGGTGAACGGAATGTTTGCAAACCATAAACACTTCATTATCAAGTGTATGACGTGTCAGGATGACGTCATTATTGTAGCTATCGCCCAACAGCAAAGTTTGCAGTGGGAACGCTGGCTGCTAAATTTTGAGTACTTCTATTAAAACTCTCTTTGATATCAAACAGAGTGCCGTAACGACTCAAAACTTCAATAAAAACAAAAGAAGAAAAAAAGGGTAAAAATAAGGAGCCGCTTGAATTATGCATTACTTTATAAAAGCTTCAAATGGTTTTGGAAAGTGTCTACAATTTATTAATTTTTTTAAAGGGGGGAAATAGCCCACATTACTATCGAATTCCCCTTTTTCTCTTGTTGGCCATTTTGATGTCCATTTAGGAGATTATTTTGTCAGATAGTAAGATGTTCAATAATACCATGAAAGAGTCTGTGAATTAAACTCAACGGCAGGGATTTCTTTTCTCAAAGACCGTTTGTGTACATACCCAATATAACATTGGCTATCATATACCCGCCACACTCATATTTACTCACTATGTTTGCCATTGGATGATTTGAATGTTCGAGTGACACTTCGCTAATCGTCTAGCTTTATCTATGGAGCAGCCAATTGGTATTCGTCACTGATTAAAATAATCTCCAACCCCGAATTTAGTGCAAAACGTTCATCGTCCTCTCAAATTACAATCAGAATATAGCTACTTACATCGATGATCTTTAACCAGTGTATTTTTAAATTGTCTTACTCTTGTTTTAAGAGTCGATGATGAACAGAATTCAAGTTTAATTTAGAAAATGTATCATCAAGCTTTACTGATTAAAATGAATTATACTGCTTATTCAAGGATTATTGCTTTGTAGACATTATTTCTTTCCAATAATAAGTAACATTATTATTATTATCATTATTATTATTATTATTACAACAAATCGGTGGAAGTTTGCAAATTTATTCCATCCTGACACAATGAGATTTTTACTTACAATCCCAACAATAACTGAACATGATCAAAAAGTGTTCGAGAAATCAACCTAAAATCAAATTTCAGTAGCCTTGTCAATTACCTTTTGGAATATGCGAACATGACATGCAAGATATTAATATTAAGATTTATTATTATGATTATTAAGATTATTATATACATGATTTCAAAAGGTAATACAACAGGGTATTGCAATTACATTTAGGTTGATTTCATGAAAGTTTTGGTGACCTTATCGGTCATTCTTTTCCAATTCATTTTTTTCACAAGTTCAGCTTAAAGATGAAGTTAAGTTCTGGTCATGCGATTGCATTGTGAAAGAAACGGTTTGGAATCGAATAGAAAAGGTTGATCATCTAGCATATAAGTATTTGTGTGTATTGCAGGGTTCTGGAATTATCAAAATGATAAGAAATCTGGCCAAGTCTTGGTGAAGTAACAAGCACTGTACACAGAAAGATGTATATGGGACTACACGAACAGTAAAAAGCGTAAAATTCCGCCCTGATTTTTACGATGTTACATGCCATATTTAGGATATGAAGGTATTTGAAGAGCCATGCTTTTCAGGTAACATGTTTCATCTGATGTTCTTCCACACTTGCATAATAACAATGATAGCACTCACAAATTATTTTTCCTCTCTTCCCAGAACTCAACCTTCTCTAATATTTCACGGGACTCAAGACAATTTCGATAAGATGAGATTAAGGGAAGGCAGAAAATAAACACAAACACATATTATTTGATATCCCTCTTATTATCTTTTTATTGAACAACCTCAATAATTTACTATTTCTTTAATAAGTGAAATAGACAAAAGAATAGATTTCACAGCATACACAAAATCACATAGCTCGACTATACAACTCTTTCTTTCGCCTCTTTCTTATAATCATATAGTATATAACAATAATATACATTTCTCTGTCATTTTTCTGATGTTCTGTACAAAGCCAAGATCAATCATG